GCCGGTTATCATGGAATGGCAGATGTGTGGGAAAGGGTGAGGGGGAAGCAAAGAATGGCTAGAACAGGCTGTAACCAGAACATTTGATGAGGCTTGAACAAAAGTGAAGGGAAAACTAGAAGCTGTAAATGTAGGTTTGTCTGAAATCAAAATCCATTCATGTCTGCAGAATAACTGAAAACACAGGCTGATGACTGGCAACTAGAAAAGGGGGTGTGTGCCATTATCAGTGACTTCTGTTTATTTACAGAAAAATCAGACAACCAAAAGTGAAGCAACACATGAAAGTGACTGAAGTCATTAAAAAAACAGCCTTTTGGATTTTTATTTGGCATTCACTATTACCATTACATCCAGCTGTTACTGTATATTTTATGTTAACATTAAACTGCTCAAAAAATTAAGGGAACACACATCAGATCTTGATGAATGAATTATTCAGGTTGAAACCCTTTACTAATGTGCACTGTATAATTTGTTTAAAATAAAATGACGTAACAACAGTCAATGGAAACCTCAATCATCAACCCATGGAGGGCTGGATTCAAAATCACAGTGAATATCGAAGTGAAAAACTGAAATCACAGGCTCATCCAAGTTGCATGAATTTCATCACTCATGATGTGACACAGAAGTGTGAACAGCCCCCGCGTACCTGTATGCACTCCCTACAATGTCTGTGCATGCTCCTAATGGATCGGTGGATGGTGTCCTGGGGGATCTCCTCTCAGACCTGGATCAGGGCATCACTGAGCTCCTGGACAATCTCTGTTGGTACATGGTGCCATTAGATGCACCATTACACAATGTCTCATAGGTGCTCAATTGTATTTAGGTCAGGGGAACGTGAGGGCCAGTGGTATCAATGCCTTCACCATCCAGGAGCTGCTGCCTTCACACTCTGGCCACATGAGGCTGAGCATTGACCTGCACCAGGTAGAACCCAGGGCCCACTGCACCAGCGTAAGGTCTGACAACACTTACAACACTTTGAGGATTTCATCCTGGTACCTCACAGCAGTCAGGGTATCATTGGCTATAACATGGAGGTTTGTGTTTTTTAGGTCAGGGGAACGTGAGGGCCAGTGGTATCAATGCCTTCACCATCCAGGAGCTGCTGCCTTCACACTCTGGCCACATGAGGCTGAGCATTGACCTGCACCAGGTAGAACCCAGGGCCCACTGCACCAGCGTAAGGTCTGACAACACTTACAACACTTTGAGGATTTCATCCTGGTACCTCACAGCAGTCAGGGTATCATTGGCTATAACATGGAGGTTTGTGTGGCCCTCCAAGGATATGCCTCCCCAGACCATCATGGGCCACCATCAAACCAATCATGTTCAATATTACAGGCAGCACAATGTTCACGAAGGCATTTCCAGACTCTTTCACACCTGTCACATGTGCTCAGTGTGAACTTGCTTTCATCTGTGAATAGAACGGGGCACCAATGGAGGACTTGCTAATTCTGGTGTTCTCTGGTGAATGCCCATCGAGCTGCACGGCGCTGGGCTGTAATAGAGGATGCCAGAACTTCATGGAGTCTGTTTCTGACAGTCTGGTCAGAAATTTGCAAACCAGTAGCCTGCTGGAGGTCATCTTGTAGGGCTCTTGCAGTGCTCCTCCTGTCCCTCCTTGCACAAAGGAGCAGATACTGGTCCTGTTCCTGGGTTGTTGCCTGTCTCCTGGTATCTCCTCCATGTTCTTGAGACTGTGCTGGGAGGCACAGCAAACATTCTTGTGACTACATGTATGGATGTGCCATCTTGGAGTAACTGGACGACCTGTGCAACCTGATTGGGCTGCAGGTACTACCTCATTCTACCAGTAGTGACAAGGACACTAGTAAAACACAAAAGCTGAGAAGTCAGGAAGGAAGTTTTTCCTCATCTGAGAGCAACAGGTGCGTTATAGGTGCGCTAGCTTTGATATTTGTAAGCTCCTACAATCAGGCAGTTTTTTTTAATTTCCTGTTTACACCAAAACCTACACAGTCAGCATCATAATGCGAAGTCAAATTCCAGTGAGAGCTTCAATTCCATTACTAAGGGTTTACTACACAGATGATACTCTGTTCAGACAGCCTGTTAAATCCTACTGGCACTGAGTCCTGAAATGAAACTCGATGTGCACCTGACTGTGTTCAGATGCCAGGATAGGTAACAACATTAAAAGGATTTAGTTCTACAGTGTAGTACCTTTTGCAGTGTTAGAAATTCATTCCAAACTGACAAGTCAAACATGTTTGACTTTCAGTGTAATTCGAATTTATAATGGATTTCTTGTGCATCCGCATATGTCACTGAGAGGTATGCAGAAGCAAAAATCCAGACAGTGTCAGCTGCCTATACTCAGTTTACATAACTGAGATATTTAGTAAGAGCAGTATTGTGATACTGCGATTACTACATTCTGACCATTATATGAACTTAAAGCTATTCAGTTTCTTTTCAACCACTAGAGGCTCTAGTTAGACTCATAACAAAGTGACACCATAAACTGCCGCTCTTTTCCCCTTGTATGACGTCCTGTTTACTGGTCATGCCTGGTTATGACAGCCGGTTATCATGGAATGGCAGATGTGTGGGAAAGGGTGAGGGGGAAGCAAAGAATGGCTAGAACAGGCTGTAACCAGAACATTTGATGAGGCTTGAACAAAAGTGAAGGGAAAACTAGAAGCTGTAAATGTAGGTTTGTCTGAAATCAAAATCCATTCATGTCTGCAGAATAACTGAAAACACAGGCTGATGACTGGCAACTAGAAAAGGGGGTGTGTGCCATTATCAGTGACTTCTGTTTATTTACAGAAAAATCAGACAACCAAAAGTGAAGCAACACATGAAAGTGACTGAAGTCATTAAAAAAACAGCCTTTTGGATTTTTATTTGGCATTCACTATTACCATTACATCCAGCTGTTACTGTATATTTTATGTTAACATTAAACTGCTCAAAAAATTAAGGGAACACACATCAGATCTTGATGAATGAATTATTCAGGTTGAAACCCTTTACTAATGTGCACTGTATAATTTGTTTAAAATAAAATGACGTAACAACAGTCAATGGAAACCTCAATCATCAACCCATGGAGGGCTGGATTCAAAATCACAGTGAATATCGAAGTGAAAAACTGAAATCACAGGCTCATCCAAGTTGCATGAATTTCATCACTCATGATGTGACACAGAAGTGTGAACAGCCCCCGCGTACCTGTATGCACTCCCTACAATGTCTGTGCATGCTCCTAATGGATCGGTGGATGGTGTCCTGGGGGATCTCCTCTCAGACCTGGATCAGGGCATCACTGAGCTCCTGGACAATCTCTGTTGGTACATGGTGCCATTAGATGCACCATTACACAATGTCTCATAGGTGCTCAATTGTATTTAGGTCAGGGGAACGTGAGGGCCAGTGGTATCAATGCCTTCACCATCCAGGAGCTGCTGCCTTCACACTCTGGCCACATGAGGCTGAGCATTGACCTGCACCAGGTAGAACCCAGGGCCCACTGCACCAGCGTAAGGTCTGACAACACTTACAACACTTTGAGGATTTCATCCTGGTACCTCACAGCAGTCAGGGTATCATTGGCTATAACATGGAGGTTTGTGTTTCCCTCCAAGGATATGCCTCCCCAGACCATCATGGGCCACCATCAAACCAATCATGTTCAATATTACAGGCAGCACAATGTTCACGAAGGCATTTCCAGACTCTTTCACACCTGTCACATGTGCTCAGTGTGAACTTGCTTTCATCTGTGAATAGAACGGGGCACCAATGGAGGACCTGCCGATTCTGGTGTTCTCTGGCAAATGCCAATAGAGCCAGTGCTGGGCTTTGAGCGAAGGTCATACTAGAGGGTGTTTATGCTACCCTCATGGAGTCCTTTTCTGACAGTTTGGTCACAAACATGCACACTGGTAGCTGCTGGAGGTCATTTTGTGGGGCTCTTGCAGTGCTCCTCCTGTTCCTCCTTGCACAAAGGAGCAGATACTAGTCCTGCTGCCAGGCTGTTGCCCTTCTATAGCACTGTCCATCTCTTCTGGTGCAACAACTGGTCTCCTGGTATCTCCTCCATGCTCATGAGATTATGCTGGGAGACAGCAAACCTTCTTGTACCTGTATGTTTGGATGTGCCATCTTGGAGTAACTGGGCTACCTGTGCAACCTGATTGGGCTGCAGGTGCTGCCTCATGCTACCAGTAGTGACAAGAATACTAGCAAAACACAAGGAAGGATAAGGAGAGAGCATTTGTTTGTGGCCACTACATGTAAAACCATTCTCTGTTTGGGGGTTGTTTTGGTTTGGCCTCTCCATTGCAGCTGTTGTCACTTTCATTTGCACCAAAGCAGGTGAAACTGATTCACAGTCACTTGTGCTTCCTAAATGGACAGATTGATATCCCTGAAGTTTAACTGACTCGGTGTCATACTGTGAAGTGTTGTTTTATTTTTTTGAGCGATTTATTATGAGGTGTTAACATTTTAATAATCTTTTATCATCAATAAAGGTGATTAAATTCACTTTGTAAACCACTGTGAACTTGCTTTGGCAGTCGGCCCTACTGCATTTAATTATGCTCATGTCAGTATAGCAGCCAACAGGGCTGTAGCTACCATCAGAGCCACTGAGGTTATGTACTCTATGTTTTCTCTGTGAATTTGTGGTTCTATAAAACTGGGGGGAGTTATTGCTCTGCAATCAGAAATATACACATGGCAAATATTTTATTTGTATTTCCAGTATTTTAGCTTCGTCTTGTTTTAGTGCAATAAAAATAAGAAAATGGAGAGCAAGGGAGTGTTAAATCATCTAGACAGCTACACGGTGCTGAGGCAACATCTAATCAACCAGAATAATTTAAATCACCTGTGTGGGTATAGGCATATTGGGCCTTTAGGATTTAGTGTTTCTTCCCTAAAATTTTATTCTTGGAAGTGTACAGATGACTTTGAAACAGCAAATAACATTTCCAGAACAGTTAGAAATGAATAAAATGAAAAATATAAGTGAACACATTTTTGAAAATTTCCCTTTGGTGCCGTTGTGGGCTACATTAAGAGATTCGAACTCATGAACTCAGTATTTTTCTTCTGGCAATAGTCCTTAATTCAAACAAACAGTTGAACTGCTCATTACAGGAAAATCCCAGCTGTTAATGATAACATTAAAGACGGCTTCATGCCATTTGAGTGTCCCGTAAATCACCACTAGGTCTGCATGCATAGCATATAAGGCCCTTGACCTGGGGCGCCTAATGTAGTCATTTTCCTTATTACCTACACCTGTGCTTTTCCTGCTATGCCAGACCAAAATGTCCACCATGAAAAAATGTATTTGCATGTCAGTTTGAGACAGACAGAAAGAGTGAAGCTGAGAAAGCATACTGTAAAGAGGAAGGAGAGGAAGGCTATGTCTTAAGTAGGGTGATATTTTTTAGGACACACCTGAGTGCACACATAACAGACACACATTCAAGAGACAGTCAAACCAAATATACACATGGCTTCAACTTGCCAATAATGTTTACTCACCTCCTTCTTCAATCTGCCAGTTCGTCTGGTTCTAAAGTATTTCCCCTCCTCCCTCTGATCTCCCTGACCCCTCTGTCTCTGGTAGCTGTCCTTTCAGCACCATTACCACTGCAGCAAAGCCCTGCTCTGCCCTGCTTTTAACACAGTTTTCTTTTTACCCACTCCACCTACATTTTAGCTTCAAAATACAAGCCAGTCTGAGTAATCTCTGCAAACAGCAAACAAAGAACTGGGAACTGCTTCTAATATGAAGCAGATCTGCACTCTTCCAAAAATGTTTTCTGGTCTAAGTGAATTTGATTGTTGGACTGTTCTTTGCTTTCAGGCGGCTTTTACTAATGCATTTCCCTGAAAGATCATCAGCTGCTTTCTTGTACTTGGGTCAGTAGTTTCAGCCCAACATCTTTTAGTAAACACAGAGTAATGATCGAAAGACTTACAGTATGAGTGAAACTAAAGAGCATTTAATGAAGGCTCTCAGTCTGCAAAGCCATTAGAAAGCAAGCATCCATCCACTTGCCTTTCATTTTATGTAACCGCCTTTTAGTAGGTATTTATTCTTAGTGTGCACTTAAAGCACACTTAAACGTCCATTAAGACTTCATGAACACTAATATGCTGAGGTCTGCCATTAAAATTTTAATGCCACTGATATAACTGTTTCAGTGCTATACAAATACTTAGCACAGCACACTGCCCTTCAAGATTCATGTTCAGCATCTGAAAAATTCAAAGTCATCTGTAGTGCAGCTTCAGTAGCCTCCAGGGGTAGTTTGAATCCTATGTTTGTTCGACTTCATATAACATACTGTTCACAATAAGATAAAATGTCAAATTGCTTTATAAATGGGGTCACTAGGATGAGGCTTTTAAACACTGATTATTCAGCAAATTAACAGATTAGCTTTTCACCTCGAATGGTGACTGATGGACTCTGTAAAACCTACTAAGCAGTGAACTAAATTTTTAGGATCTTTTAAGAATGGTACTCATCATGTTTCATCAACCACCAGTAAATCCTCTTACAGGTCCAGACAGTTCATTTGGCTAAACCTGTTCACTGTGGTGGCCATTTTGCTGACTGTCAATCTACTCCAAAGCCATTTGCTTTGTGTTTTTCAGGTCTGCTGAGCTTGTAGTGTGTCATGTTTCCTTATCGTAAAGGAAAAGGTTTGCTTAGTTCAGATGATGCTGTGACCTGTCATGCAGAATACAGGAGGAAGCCTCAACCTGATTTAAGAAACAAGACAGTTTATGAAGGTGAGTGGGTCAGCATTTTGTGTTAACTGAAGGTGTCTTTGGATTCACTGCTGCTTTAATGTGTGAGCCAGTAAGGGTGTGTAACACTTACAGCAAGCAGCCTCAGAGGTGATGGAATGAGACAGTTTTGTAGCAGAGCTTGAGTTGAGCCATGTGCTCGGCAGGGGAACCGGCCCTTTAATACCTATCAGCCAATCAGGCAGGGCATGCATGGGAGCAGGCCGTCCTTGGGAACGACCTTGCAGGGGGCTGAGGGAGGAAAGGGAACAGCACATTGAAGGGGCAGATAAAGGAGAGGAACAGAGGGGTTGAGGGAGGGTGGAGGAAGCACAGAGCAAGAGAAAATTCACACAACCATGATGTAAAAATTTATAAATCTCTTCCACAAAGCCAGACAAATACAATAAATAGTAAGATGTACAGAGATAGTTAAAGGCACTAAGAGGATTAAAAGTTCAGCTGCGTAGTTCTGCCTCAGTGCATTTCTCTCTTCCTTTCTCTCTCCCTCTGTGACAGACTTGCAAACGTCAGCATGTCCAAATTAAACTGACAGCATGCCATACTCTTACACTGCATGAGAAAGGATGTAAGGGAGAAATAAGAAGAGGGCTCTAACTTAGAGGTGGTAATAATTAGGCTACCAATTTTGCAGTTGAAGTTGGGGAAAGAAGACAAAAGTCAGATTTAGTGAGACTTGTAGACTACTGCAGAAATCGTTAAACTTAAATATGCTTAATAACTGTCTTAAAGACTGTTTCTCCAAAATGTTTTTCCAGTCCCCCTTCAAAAAATGTAGACAAAGCTTTTTTAAACTAAAGCAAGATAAAGACTGACTATCAATAACCTAACAATATGCTCATGGATTATAAACTTCCAGGCCTCCTCCATTAGTGATGTCAGGAGGAGTAATGGTGTAGCTCCGCCAAACGTGTCAGCTTGCATGTGACCCTGTTCTGTTCCAGATAATGGAGTGAGAATATATTTGTTTCTGTGGGTGTCAGCCTTTGTGTATGTAACAGAAAGATGGTGCCAAAATAAATAAGACAGTAATGTGTCTTGATATGTTCTTTGCCTGTGTGCGTCAGCATATCTGAGCAGGCACGTGTGTGTGTGACTGGGGCCTACTGCTGCTGTGCCCAATGAGTCAATGTGATGGACTGCTAGCCCAGCGCAATAGGCAACCTCAGCAGTGTTGTCATTATCGCTGTTACCTCAGACAAGGATCGCACCCTGTGCCACAGTCCCTCTCTCTACTGGACCACTCACAGACACAAACAACGCACATTTGCTTTCACTTCTAGTGGGGACTTTACACTGACTTACATTAATTTCTTGGAGACTTACCTTAACCATGTTACTTGTGTAACCCTAACTTTGACCTAATCTTAAACCAAGGCATCATTCTAAAATTGCACCATAATTGCACAATATTGTCTCTCTCTCTCTCTCTCTCTCACACACACACACACACACACACACACACACACACACATAGTGTATAACTAAAATGTAAAACAGCAGAAAAAAAAACATACCTCTGCTTTGGATGCTTTTTTTTTTGGTAGTTCATTTGTCTTTTGAGTGTGTGTCAGTTGTGTGTCTATGAGTGTGTGTCCATGTGTTTCTGTCTTCTGGCCCCTAGGCTTGCTCACTGCATGTGTATTCTGTGCCCTTATTCTCAGGTCTGTTCTGACAGAGAGGTTGCTGTGTGCTTGTTACTGTAAGACCCTTGCAGACATTAGTCCCTCCCCTGGAGTGTGTGAGTTTGTGTGAGTGACTGGGTAATTGGCTTCCTACTGCCCCCAGCTTTGTCCCCTCTGGGTGCAAGCTGATGGTCTGTGAGAGGCACGTTGCCTGTATAACAGGTACTGCATATATTGATCATGACTGAGACACTCATTCTACAGATGCATGAGGTGTAATTTTGAATATTAAAGGGACCGGCAGCTGTCAGGTTCACTGGTAATAAATGAACCTGGAGACTGGAGGAGGTTGCCCTGGAAACTACTAATTGTCCTACCTCACCTTTTCTTCCCCTATTCATCACATTACTCATCTGTCACACATGCTGGACACTCACATCCACACAAGATGTCCAGTATGGACATCTAGGCTAGATCCCTCTTAATCCCTCACTGATGCAGTTCCTCAAGGCTGGACTACTGCAGTGTACTATACCTTTGGACTCCTGCCAGAGTGTCCAATTTGCTGCTGGGATATTAATGAGAGTATGGTTTCCTCCCTAAATTACACTGGAGATCTTGTCTCCTTCAGGAGACATTTGTAATCCTTCCCCTGACCAGTCCATGTGTCACTTCTGCCTACCTGCCTCCTAGAAACTGTATATATTGACTATGAAATTGCAGTTGGAGAAATGATAATCTTAACTCAATGTTCACATACTAATTTTTTTCTCTGGAGCTTTCGGTAATACTTCATGGTGTTCATGAGCTGAAAGCCTGAAGAAAGCTCTGTTATCACATGACAACTGAGAACAACTGACAACATATGATAAGGGAGCAAATTCTATTTTCTGATGAAGACTAAGACATCTGAAAGATGTAAGAAAAATCTAATAATCTATATAATAAATCTATTTATGTACTTATTTTGTTAAACATTAGAAATATTATGCAACATGTCCAAGAACACATCCATGTATATAGTCCATATTAAGTACCTGGTGACGCTTCAGTCAACGCACAATGCAGCGCTAAACGTTAGCTGTGTCCACCTGTACCAGCTACTGATGTATTCGCAACATTATTCAGCCTGAGTACACTGGCAGTGGCAGAGGTCAATCAGTTCTACCTTACTCCTGGACCACTGATGTTAAAAGGTTAAACTCAGTTTGGTTGATGGCAGAACAGAGGAACAGATATGAATATACAGTAATTAAGAGAGACATGTTTAAGTCCTTGTGACACCTGATGACTGTGCTTGTAGATTTCATTGATAAATTCAAATCTTGGCAAGCTGTTTTCCTGAGGATTATGTGGAGTTGTAGGTGTGGCTGCAGGCTTGATCAAATTGAAATTAATATCTGAACACACTCTGGCAGGCTAATAGACACACAGATTATTAACTTGAGTATACAGTAGCTGTAAGCCATAATAAGTTATGATTCTTTAGATTGTCATGTTCGCTAGCACATGCTAACATGTTTGTGCTACTGATTCAAGGCTTGTTTACTCTGATCAGATCATTCATCACTCTGACAGCATCATTATTTACATATTTCCTTAGCAGCCATTTGAATGTATTGATGTGTCTCTGTCAGTGTGTTTGTGTTTGAGATAGCAAGGTTTCACATGTGCCCAGAAATGTGATTTCAGATTGAATTAAATGAGGGATGATGAAGGGGAGAGAGTTTGGACCAGCACCCAAGAGGCACTCGGTCTTTCAAATGTTGTCTCATCACTGGGGATTCAAACATCTGGCACTGTGATGCATGTGAGCCTTGACTGGCTGGTTTTACTCATTTACTCACTCAGTCACAAACACACGATCAGAGTAACTTAGAATGATTCTCTCACAGGGGTGGCTCTCAATAGTCATGGTTAACAAATGCTCAACTATTTTGAGTCATTTATTTGAATTAGCAGCTTTTTTGTAGAGGTGTAGTTACATATGGTCAAGTGGGTTTTCTTTTAATAATTTACTGTAGCTACAATCTGGTGACAAATTAAAGGATAAATAAATAAGCAAACCACTGGAATGCGCCTGTCATTTTAGAATGATTCTGATTTACACTAACATACACACAATAGAAAGAACAAAATTGGCTGGTGTCATGAATATGATGGTAATGTCTCCTGCACTTATTTTGTGCACAAGGTAAGAACATTTCTATGCGCATGTTAGTGAATAAGGTCCACTGCCTGTCTGCCGTTTGGTGTTTACAGTCTTATGCAAAAGTTTAGGCACCCCTTGATACATAACAGATTTTGGTGATTTTTTATTTGAACAGATGTTAACACAGTTTCTCTTGGAAATGGAAAAAATGCACAATATTTTCTGCAAACAGTGATGCATAGTTACTTCTTATGCCATAAATTGAACAAAAATAAAAAATAAAAACATTATTATGGCATGGTGCAAAAGTTTGGGCACCCTACACAATCAGTACTTAGTAACACCTCCTCTGGCAGATATCACAGCTTGCAAACGCTTTTCATAGCCAGCTAAAAGTCTTTCAATTCTTGTACTTGGGATCTTCTCCCATTCTTCCTTGCAAAAGGCTTCTAGTTCTGTAATATTCTTTGGTCGTCTTGCATGCACAGCTCTTTTAAGATCTACCCACAAATTTTCAATGATGTTTAAATCAGGGGACTGTGATGGCCATTCCAAAACCTTCAGCCTGCGTCTCTTGAGGTATTCCATAGTGGATTTCGAGGTATGTTTAGGATCATTGTCCTGTTGTAGAAGCCATCCTCTTTTCAGCTTCAGCTTTTTTACAGATGGTGTGATGTTTGCTTCCAGAATTTGCTGGTATTTAGTGGAATCCATTCTTCCCTCCACCCGTGCAATGTTTCCTGTGCCACTGGCTGCAACACAACCCCAGAGCATGATAGATCCACCCCCATGCTTAATAGTTGGCAAGGTGTTCTTTTCATGAAATGCTGCTCCTTTTTTTCTCCAAACATGCCTTTGCTGATTGTGTCCAAAGAGTTCTATTTTAACTTCATCAGTCCACAGCACTTGTTTCCAAAACGCATCGGGCTTCTGTAGATGTCCTGTTGCATACTTCAGACGTTGGATTTTATGATGGGGACGCAGATAAGGTTTTCTTCTGCTGACTCTTCCATGAAGGCCTTGTCTGTGCAAGCATCGCTGCACAGTGGAACGGTGCACCACCACTCCTGAGTCTGCTAAATCTTCCTGCAGGTTTTTTGCAGTCAAATGGGGGTTTTGATTTGTCTTTCTGACCAGCATACGAGCAGTTCTGTCCGAGAGTTTTCTTGGTCTTCCAGATCTCATCTTGACCTCCACAGTTCCCCTGATCTGCCATCTCTTAATTACATTTCTTACTGTGGAAACTGCAAGCTGACAACGCTTTGCTATCTTCTTGTAGCCTTCTCCTGCATTGTGGGCATCAATAACTTTCATTTTCAGGGTCTTACACAGCTGCTTAGAGGAACCCATGGTTGCTGGGTGTCCACAAGTGTGTGCACAAGGTTTGAAGAGTCAAAGTATTTGTACAGCTTTGAAATTGGCATTTACCAATGACAGCTGTTGCTGTGCATCAGATCTAACGAGCTGATTAAGGTCTGATACCTTGTGAGAGACTTTGAGACTCTGGAACTCTTAGGGTGCCCAAACTTTTGCACCATGCCATAATAATGTTTTTATTTTTTATTTTTGTTCAATTTATGGCATAAGAAGTAACTATGCATCACTGTTTGCTGAAAATATTGTGCATTTTTTCCATTTCCAAGAGAAACTGTGTTAACATCTGTTCAAATAAAAAATCACCAAAATCTGTTATTTATCAAGGGGTGCCTAAACTTTTGCATAAGACTGTATATATACATATACATATACATATACATATACATATACATATACACACACACACACGTCTATCTGTAGGTCTTAATGAGGATGAGTAGTAATAAGTTTGAGTTGCCAGGTTATGAAAAATCCCTCTCCAACATGACACACGCTTTGTCTGTTCCCAATAAGTTGAATGGCAAATTGTGCCTAAACGTTTGGCTGATAATATACGTAGCCTTTGTTTTAAGATGATCCTTTTGTCATTTTGGATTTTTGGGCAAAAAGATCCCTTAGCCAGAACCAAACTGATGTTGCAGTTATCTGGTATTTTCATTAACCAAAGATACAGTACCAGGGCAGTACCCTGGATTATTCATACTTTATAAACTCATTATCACTAAATAAAAAAAGATAACAGCCAAAAGGGGTTTATCACAACCTGGAAACTCATATGATAATAAACCTCCATGCTCAGGTTTTAGGCCAACACTATAAGCTATAATTGAGAGCTCAAGGAGTAAATGTCAAGTAAAGTCATGCTCAAACATGAGAATAGTATTTATTAATCGTTAACAAAGCCATTAGATACAATTTATAAAGTCTTTGAAAAAAGGTTGCCTCTCTACAGAGTTTTATTTCAGACCACCTTATGATATTTACACATGATTAATACTAAACTAGTGCTGTGTTCATGGCATCATCACTCATGTATGGCAGTTTTTATTGCATACGACAGATAATTATCCAAGTGCATTAAACCCTACAGGCTAGTTTTATGACCCTATCGTTTGCCATCTCATTCTGATGATTAAGGCTGATTTCTCCTCTGCCATAACATATTCATATGTCACACTTGACTATACTTTATGACACTAATGGTCATAAAACACCGTCTCCTCTCTGTCTCTCTTGACCAGGCGGACCACCTGCTTAACAAGGTAGCGAGAGCATTCATCTGCACCACAGGCCTGTTCGCTGCAATCGGATGAGAAAGAAGACACACTCCTGTTTGACTGGACAGGAGCTGAAACTTAGTTTAGCATAAGTGACTGGAGTATAAGAGGACACTAATGTAGCTGGGCTTGATGGCAGTGTGTTTTTGTAAACAAGCACAAAACAAAGAAAAAATGAGAGCGAAAAACTGTGATGTTACATGAATGTAGGTACAGGAAATACAAATCAACAGAGTGAGTTGAAGAATGCGTAATGTACATTCCTCCTGTCTCCGTTTCTGTCACACTATCCTCTCACACACATTGAAGGATGTTCTACACCAGTCAAGAGCGCATTGCTGACAATAACTCGGTGTACAGTTACAGTTGTGGATGAAACTAATTTATGGGTAAACCCTGAGGCACAGAGATTTGAGTTCAGCCAGGAAGGCGTTTAAAGGTCACGTTGGACATCCCATTGCTTTAAATAAGAACATGTGGTGACAGTTAAAGGGACAGGCACAAAAGAATGATGCAGTATGAGCTAATATCATCAAAAATTTAATCAGCATTTTAAACCAACTGGTGTCACGACTGCCCCTGGGAAACAGACTGCAAATGTCACACACACACACATATATAGCAGGGTCAGAACAATGGGCAATGTTTTTTTTTTTAATTTACAATGTTAGTAACATGTTTATCTCTCTTAAAGTATAAAGTTAGATGAGAAGATCAATACACACCCTCATACCTGTCACATGACTACAGACTGTAAATCATTCTTCTCTGTGTGTGCTACTGTTTCACAGACATTTAGCATTTGCCTTTGTCCTGTAATTACCACGAGATCACAGTAGCACTGTTCAGCCATAGTTACACAGCACTGAGTGAACTATGCTATCTCAATTTTAACTGCTATCTCAGTTCTCTTTGTTCTATTGATTCAGACATACTGTATGTAATAATATCTTATAAAATGTCTTAAGAGTGTTCACATCATAACTTATTCATCTCTGTGACTATTAGCATTGTGCTTTCCTGACAGCAACCATCTTATAGACACAATCATCTTTTCCTAGACACAAATGTTTAAATTTGGGTGGAAGTGGTTTGTAACAAAAATTGATAAGCTTCTCTTCAAACATAAATTAGATCATTATATAAAGCTGCGTTCACTATTTTCTGTCTGTACTTACACTGACAAAGTGCTTTAATACCGAGTACTCTTTGAGCTGGTTGGTTGTTTCAGTCATAGTATTTTAATAATTTTAATATTGAGTTTTGTAAAGACAATACCCAATATGTCCTGTAAAGTCATTATAACTGTATATCAATTAAGCTGCTCATGATGTCAAATATTCATTCATTTCAGTTTAACAACATAGCATGTGACTAACCACTTTCAATGACCCCATGACCCTAGTAGTTTTCAAAGTGAGGAAACAAGTAGCACAAATTTGAACCGATGTGCACTCAGCCAGGTTTCTCCCAGCTGTCCATTGGCCTTGTCTGCCCTCCACCTTTATCAGCTCTTTACTCTCCCAAGCTTCTCTCTCTCTTCCTCTTTCACAGCCTGTGTACCTTATCTACTCCACCCACTCTATTGGTTTCTCCATCTTTCCATTTCTCTCCAGGCTTGTATGCCTTTCCTGTTGCGAGGGTGTCGCGACAGTGCCACTCACCATGGTGCCAGTGTTTGTACCTCCCTCATCCTCTTGCTCTCTTCTCACACAAGGTGTCCTTCTGGCCTGGTGTTTGCAGAAGTAGGCCCCATTGTGATATGGTGGCAGGACAAAAAAAAAAAAAAAAAAAAAAAAGAGGATGGAGAGAAATGGTGCTGAGAACAGGTGAGGACGTTTTGGAGGTCATAGACTTCCAGTTCCTTTCTGAAAAACCAGAGTAAAGGTTTGCAAACTAACAGCACCTAAACACCTACAACATGCATGCCATCTCCATGGGGATGCAGGTGGGTTTATTTATTGTTGGTGTGCTGAAGGTTCAGATCTACTCTACATATTGGTTACCCTAAGGACTGCTGCAGCACTTTTGAGCAAATTTAATCCGACTGTCAAATGTAGCTGTCTAATATATATACAGTATCTCCTCTATTTATCTCCAGCTCTTAAAGCACTTATCTGAGGTCATTCAAGGTTTCCTTGGCCTTGTCAGGCTGAAAAAGAGACCTGCAACTCTACATATTGGTTACCCTAAGGACTGCTGCAGCACTTTTGAGCAAATTTAATCCGACTGTCAAATGTAGCTGTCTAATATATATACAGTATCTCCTCTATTTATCTCCAGCTCTTAAAGCACTTATCTGAGGTCATTCAAGGTTTCCTTGGCCTTGTCAGGCTGAAAAAAAGACCTGCATTTATAAACGTGTGTGTGTGTGTGTGTGTGTGTGTGTGTGTGTGTGTGTCTACTCACCAATCAAGCCAACAGCATACAGCCAAATATGCTCATCATTGCCACACACATGACGAACTTGGGCGGAGTTTGTCCATCAGGTCAGTTTGTTCAAAGAGCTCTCAGGATCATTATGGATACATAATTAATGTTTCACTGTGTGTTTTAACATGCTGTTCTACTACTACTAGCAGTCAAGGTCGCCTGGCAAATCCCTCTTGCCTATTATGTAGGGAGTCAAATCAGTCATTTCCTCAATCCCCCATCTTTTCTGTCCATAGATTCTCTCAATCCCTCTCTTCTGCCTCTATTTTTAACCAGCTTAGTGCCACTGAAGGCATGAGAGGTTTAGTCTCTGCCTCGTCCCTCCCTCACTGCCTAGCTGCCGATTCAGTCTGTTAATCCCATAATGCTGCAACTGCACAGATCAATGCTAGTTTATAAAAATGTACCTTAGCAAAGCATGAGAACAGAATTTGTTCCTTTCATTAATACTCAAGTCTGTTTGATCCTCAGAAATACTTGAGTGTTGTTTCCTCTCTACACTGAGTACTTCACTGCCAGGCTGTGCATTACCCCATACCAGAGTAACAGTCCTTCAATCAATACACAGTGAACCATTAGAGAGAGCCACAACATCTGCTCAATTCCCAGATCATATTTATTGATCCGGATGTTTACTTATTAGTCACCTTAATGTACATTGCAAAGTCAGCATACTGTAGCTCAACTAAAATTAGAAATACATTCATACAGATTCATGTTCACATAAGTCATTGTTCCCAACTGTAAATGAAACAAAATCAAAGTCAGAGGTAGGGTACTGGTTAGAGCAGAATGTGCCAACCTTGGTGTTAAGTCTTGAATGGCCTTACAGCTGCAAAATGCATTGTCAGCAAAAAGATCCTTACACATTCAGCATTTCTTAGAAATCCCCTTCTCTTTGTGTGAACAGATTAGAGACAGAGAACGGACTGCAGAGTCACGCTGGGCTGCTAGTCAGGAATCACCTGCGTCTGTAGTAACACAGGCTAATCTGCACTGGCCCTGGCTCACACAGACACTGCTGCACTATGTACCAATGAATATGGAAAAGCTACAAGTCACAAGTGGTTTAGACATGTGAGTCGGTGGTGCAGAAAGGTGATTTACAGTATGTAATCCTTGTATTGCGCATCTACAAGACTGCACATTTTGCCTCCTTTGGTGGTGGAAATGAGTCACGCTGATCTAAAAATGGGCCTGTGAGCACAGAATTGGGGGGAATGCAGCTCAAGATAGAAAAAGATGAGTCAGGCAAGTGGAAAAGAAGCAGAAAATAATTGCTTGCCACAGTACAAGGTGTGCTCAAGACGCTTGCAGATTTAGCCTTTGAAATCTATCGCCCCCACAAGGATATCTGTGGGTACTGCAGCTGCAGTGCAACTGCAATTGTCTGCCTCCACATTCCCCTCTTCTTTACTGATAAATGTTACACATTGACAGTAATCTCTCATAATAAAACCACTCATGCCCTGCCAGTATTCTGTACTGTCTTCATTAGACAAGATGCTGGTCAGGGCTGTAGCTCTCTGTTGTGCTAAATCCTCCTGTACTTTCACTTCATCCTTACTACCATGTAGTGAAATAGCAGAATTACAACTGTGGTGAAATACAAGTTACAATAAAAAAAAAACTTAAGTAAATTTATTTAACCTGAATCACAGTTTAAATGTTTATTGAATCAACAACCTAATGACTTCAAAAATACACTTCATGAAAATTAAATTGATTAAAACAAACATTGTTCCTTAAAAGAGAAAATCGATTACCTCTCTCAAATTGTAGTTCGATAAAATGAACACCTGTTTGGCATAAAGACACCTTTGGGTAGAAAAATATTAGGTTTTACTGACCTGTTTGACCTTTGACCCTGATAATGGAGGGACATAACATTAGCTGGTTCTGTGTTTTCACTTCATAAAGAACTATTTAATCCTTCACTAGAAAGAGGATTTCATGAACATGATTCATCCTAATACACCTAAGCATGTTGGAAGAATAATAAAAACAGGCACAAAGGTTTACAGTTTTTCTTCACTAACAAATATCCCTAAAAAATACAGTAGAGGCTACTCAGTGTTTGAGCAACTAAGGGCCGTTTTATTACAGTTTTAATGATGGATGAATGCAAAAAAAAAATAAAAATAAATGGTGGTGCAGCTGGTTACAGGCCAGTGCATCAAGTCCAGTCACTCACTAGCTCTTAATTTGTTTTCTTCCACCAGAGCTGAGTATTATTGAATTTTCACAGGCCAGAATATCAAATATTTAAATAAAATGTAAAAGTTACCAGCAATAACTGAAACAAAGCACAAATGCATATCATTTCTGCAGCAGTTAACCCCCCTCGCTGCAGTTTGCACCCTGATATCCCATCAGAGTCTCGTCTCAGTGCCTGTCTAACTGCAGCTAATGGCTTTTCCACAGGTTGCCTGTTTGTCATTGATTTTACACCAACTAGGTGTGGAAACCAACAACAGGAGGCAAGTACAGTGTACAGTATGGCCCCACAACATGCAATACCCACATATTGTGCTTCTGCTAACCAAACCATGTCATTAACAATAATGTGTGCGACAGTTCAATAATGCAATGCAGTTCAGTGTAGAGGCACATTTCAATGTCCAACTTATGATGCAACACTGAACAGCATATGGTATTTAAAACAACATGCTCTTTGACTTATCTACAGAGTAAGAATCATTTCATTACGTCTATGTAGCTCTTACACTAGCAATATTTTGTTTTTTGTTGGTTCAAGCTGATCAGGATTTAAAAAGATCAAATTATCAAAAAAGCGACACAGCTGCTACCAGTTATTTCATAGCAAAGACTACTGGGTCCCACAGATATTCTTAAACAAAAAAGGCAAATCAGAACACTCTCTACCTCTGCAAAGGATTAATTTGAAAGTTTATAGCTACACATCAAATGTTCACATCCATGAGTTATCACTCTTCCATGACAGAGCTCAGTTCATGTCCAGCTCATTTAAGCAGAAATGAGTCTCTTCATACACTCACACATACATATTTAGATGCATCAATGTCTTCTGCAGCTCCTCACGCTCCTCTTATCACACAAACACAGCAGACGACATAAAGCTGTCCCCACGGTTCTGATTGGAGACATGGTGATGGTCCTGGGGCTCAGTACCTGTGTGCACATAGGGAGCCGGGACCTCATTGTTTCCAGGTTCATCCCAACCAGAGGGGGCAGCAGCGTAATAATGCTCCTTTACCGTTTCACCACAATCATCATCTTCATGATAGGCATCCAGGTCCTGCCAGAAATAAGGCAATATGCAATGTTTGAGGAAATGTCAGGCCGGCTCAATTGGTAACAAAAACTATGTGTCACATTGTTCTAAACCTTAACAGAGAATAGAGACACTGTGTTCTTCTGTCTCTGAAACATAATACTGTGGTTTCCATATTCTGAGAAAGTTGGCTCTACAGTGCTAAACTGCTACTAAGTAACTACAAGAGATATTATGGGCAATTTAAATTGTTTTTGTTATATCCTACTTTGT